CCTGCCTGCGTGCCTGCCTGCCTGCCTGCGTGCGTGCGTGCGTGCGTGCGTGCGTGCGTGCGTGCGTGCGTGCGTGCGTGCGTGCGTGCGTGCGTGCGTGCGTGCGTGCGAACCTGCTACTTTGGGAGGGTGGATACTAGACTACTAGACATGTCACTAGGAATCCCGCTGCGTGCCCCACATCCTCCAGCAACTGGTTGAGCTCTTTCATGTCCAAGTGGCCGTTCCCATCCTCGGCACGCAGACACGGACTTTCCTACAAGTACGCAGGCACTGATGCGACCTTACACTTCGCGGTGTGGCCAGCCTTGTCGAGCCGTGCGAAATGCTCAGTCAGCTCCGTGAGACGCTGCTCGTCGTTGAAAGTCCGCACATTCCTGTGCAACAGCTGCAATGATTCCCAACGGAACTACACGTGCACATTGAACCCCTGCCATTGCAACTCGACCGACAAGAACCGGCCTCAGGAATGTTAGAAAATCCTCGAAATTCAGTTCTGTCTGAGCATACACATGGTCTTCCGAATCTACCGGAACCAGGAACTGCTTGATCTCCTCTTTCTGCCACTGCTCCCGTGGCATCATTCCAAGCTCATACACGGCAAGGAAGGCATCATTTGCAGAGACGACGCCAATTGGTCCAACATCCCCAGACAATCGTCGAAAGACTTCGTAGATCTGGGGGATGCTCTCCCTGCACTCCTGGAAGAGATCAGACGGCACCCTCATCTCGACAAGAATCTCGATCTCGCGCTGCCGCAGTTGGCGATTTGTTCGCTCTCGGCAGCCCATTACACAATGCTCGAACGCATCAAAGTCAACCAAAGTGTCAGATTCAACCGAGAAATCGCTCTCCTTCAACGCATCCAACATGTGCAGCTGGTCCATTTTCAGGCACCGCGCAATCTCCAAGCACTTTAACACCGATATTGCGCCGGTTCCCTCCCTATCGAAATTGCAGAAATATCGCATGACCTTGGCGGCAATCGGGGCGACTGGGGAGCTGAGGAGGCTCCAAATATGCAAAAATTTAATCACGAAGCCCCACCGCGCCGTGTTGCACAGCACTGTTAGCGAATGCAATGCTATGCAATGCTAGTCGGCTTCGACACGTGAGCTGCTGGATAAGTTGGTTTTCGCGGGTTGAAGTGTTCATGGACGATGCCGCTCTGACTACACCAAAACTTGTAGCCGGCGTAGTTCAATATACCCTTATGGTATTGTATGATTCTATACTACACTCTACTAACATGTTGTAATATATGTTTCATATTATGTTATGTTTTGTTTTGTTGAGTTATCATATAGTACATTATAGTATATATCGTTCGTTCATTACTCGCAAAAGCTGGGCCAGGCTCCAACTTGGCCATGGCCAAGGGAGAGGCCAAGACACGGGTCGTTATTTGCATAGCCATCGCTTCGTAAGACTACACTATCCTATAACATACTACAGTGTAACATAATGTACTGTACTATAACTAGAATACAATGCAGAATATAGAGCATAATATAATGCACATTACACTGTAATGCAAAAAGCTCCCATCTCCGCCAAAGCCGCCGTTGTGCTTTGCAGCTCCGTCAAGCGCTGCCGAACTTTCGGCACCAAGACGGCAGCGAAGGTCATGAAGTCGAAACGCATGTCCTCTCCCGGGGACTCCCCCCCGACCTCGAAGTCCTCGCTGCCAGACTCGTCGGAGACGGTGCCTTGAGATGAAGCAAAGCTGCTTCGCCGGCTCCCCGAGGCTCTCTTCCCATCCTCAGTGGGACGCAAAGCGTTCAAGGCAAACTGCAGGGCCAACAAGACTTTTGCCAAGCGGGCAAGTGGCGCCGCGCGCCTGCTTTGCATCTCCTGCCCGCTCTTATGTCACTGAATCTGAAAGACTACGGCTATAAAGTTGAAAAGCGGGCATTGTAGCTGGCGCTCGGACAAAGGGAAACCTCAGCCAGATGTTCAAGACTACGCTCCTGCTTTCGGAGTCTTCTGTGGTGCCGCTGCTTTTTTGACCTCAAGTTTAATGCGCGGCTGGCCCTGCATTCGGGACCGCTGCGCATTCAGCACCTGCAGGGCGAGTGGCGATGCTGATTCAACTGCACCGAACGGTCATGCGAGTGCGTGCTGCCTGCCTGCTGCAGACTATCTGCCTGCCGCCGATGAAGAGACTGTACGCGCGTGGCTGTCATGACATTGCGACAGACCTGCATGATCTCCTGAGCTTCCGCAAAGATCTGAGCATCGTGCAAAGGATGGGAAGCATGCACTTAGAAGCAAAAAGTTCGCGGCTGCGGCGAGGCGGCTCTCTTCTCGATCGCGTTCGATCCGGAGAGCCCTAACTCCTCAAACATCTGGTGGTTGATAGACGTTACACATGAGCACAGGGCAAGACCGGAAGTGCGTTTGGACCCAAGTGACTCGCAGAGCTGGCACGATCTCGTCGTAATCGAGATATCCAGACAGGTCGGCATCATAATGGAAAAACGCGCGTTCCACTGCCTCGCGCTCCTTGCCGGGAAGGTGCTCGTATTTCCTCCGGAAGGACGTCTGACTGCATGCAGGTTGAACTCAAAAACGAACCACACTAGACTCTAGAACTCTAGATGAGGTGGGATGTCAACAACACAGCACACACAGTCACAGGAAAAATAAAGACTCGACCCCCATCTGACGAGAAGCTTTTGAGCATCGATCCCTGCGCGTTGGTTCTGCACCTTTTCCCGTATCCGGTGCAGTCGGCGCTGAAGCACCTCACGCATCTGCCGCCTGGTCTCGGCAGCATCAGCCTCGTTGGTGGCAAATTCCGTGCGATTCTTCATCACAGCTCGAGGCATTCGCTGAGTGTCTTGTAATTACCGCAACAGTCGGAGTTCGAACATACAAATTCCTGTCCTAACTGGCCAGTTCGCACAAGTGACAGTGAACTGGCAAGAATCACCATGGTTTGGTGAAGGGGTGGAGGCGTTTGGCTGGAAGGTGCACTTGCATAAGAACTTCCGGGAAAGCTTCTTATCCAGCACTGTCCCTACTTGGAAGCAAGCCTAGGTCCCTGTAGAGATGTCATCCGAGAGGCTGAGTCGAGGGGTGGCGGCTTCACGGCTGCGCTCGCGGCATGGCTCGTGCTGGCGCTCATCGGAGTCTCTGGAGCGTAGCCTCGTGAGGCAGGAACTGCGAGTACTTTCTGGTGGGGGTGATCCGTACAAAACACAATGGAAAGAGCTGAAAACATTCTTGCACGTCCAGGTTCCGCCCTGAGCAGATTTGGGGGAAGCAGGCATCGAGCCGTCTCGTTCTGGCTCTGAGTCATCACCAAGGCCCGACAGTGCCGACGAAAAGGAAGCTGTGCTCGCCGGCTGTGCAGGTTTCGGCCTCGCCTTCTTTGCCTCACTCGCCTGGTTCCGCGCTTGGTCACGCGCCTCGTCAGAGCTGTCGGGCTTTTCCGAGCGAGGCTTCGCGTCTGCCTTCGCCTCCGCTTTGGCCTCTGCCTTCTCCGGCTTCGCTTCCGGCTTCGGCGGTAGCCGCCTGCGAGGTGGCTTTTCGGCTACCTGGTTCACCTGGGACTCCTTAGGAGGTCGGCTGCGAGTGGCCGGTGCCGATGCATCTCGGCTGGGCTGTCTGCCTTCCTTGCCTTCCCTAGATTTCGACTTTGGAGACGGTCTCGGCCGAGCCTCCTCGAATCCTCTGGAGCCTGTGCAGCTCCGGCTGGTCCCCGGCAAGGAAGAAGTTGACTCAGCGCAGGCATCGCCTGCTCCCTTTAACTTGGGGAGCAGTTTCCGAGAACCATGCAGCCCTTTCCGATCCTTTGACTTGCCAAGGGTGCGCTTGTCATCCACCTGCCCAGGAAGCTTCTGTGAAAAAAAAGCCTCCTCACTCCTGGAATTGTGTGGTTTCTTCATGCGCTCCAGCAAGCACCGCCATTGAGCGGGTGCTGGACGGCGCGAGCTGCACAGATGAGCCCCAACAGCTGCAGCGGATTTCCGAGACTGCTCCGAAAACTCCGGGCTATCGTCGCCTGTCGCTGGAACTAGAAACACGGGAAATTGTCACATCCTCTTTCGGCAGCATCCCACGAACATGGTCGTTTGCTCACATATCCCTGTGTCTAGGTCGCGTCGTGTTTGAGTCGGAGCTCAAGTCTGCTCTGCGCCAAAGCCGCTCCAAGACTCGGGCTCCAATTTCCTGTCTGCTGGACCTCGGCAATGGTTGACGAAGCTTCTACCTTTCCCTTCTCATGATTCCGATTTATGAAATAGCTACAAGGCTAAATTCCGGGTTTCTCCAATCTACAATCCTTGGCTCCGTAGGCCGATGCCTCATCCATTGGGCCACAGGACCTGTGCTGGACCCAAGCCGGAAACACGTCAATTTTTCATCCGGCCACCGTTCCTGCAGGCTGCCCAGCTGCTGTAACCTTAATACCAACTGCGCACCTGTTGCAATTACAGCTGCCCAGGCGACTCCCAACAAGTAAGCATATCCTGGCAACAGTGCCAGACAAACTGGGTAAACCTGTCGCAACTGGTTGCCCGGAATTCCATCACAAAAAGCTGAGAGCACCCCAAGCGCTTCTCAGCCGGGCCCCCTAGGCCCGTACAAGGCGATTCGGTGAGATATGGCCGTCAGCGGATACAGTGCAGTGACAAACCAAGTGGCACAAAAGACCTCGCAATTCGGGACACGAAACCCGAATAGCTATACCATCTGCTGAAGAATTGGCACGAACAGGCTCTGGCGTGGTTTGGATGCCATGCGGGGTTGAAACCGAAAACGGACGGACCGCCGTTCTGAAGTGATCAGCATGTTTTTTTCTGTTTGCCTGGGCATTTCTTAGGCTGTAAAAACTCTACAGCATTCCCAGAAGTCTCATAGCTCAGTTGGTTGGAGCGTACGGCCAAAAAACGTGAGGTCCGCGGTTCCACCCCACACTGGGACCAGCCAAGTAGTAGTGACTAATTGCTCGCAGAAGCGGCGCTGCGGCGCGGCCGGCGACATCTTGGGGCTGATCTTTGGCTTCGCCTTCGGCACAGGCGCGGCCTCCGTTGGGTCTCAGAAACTGCAGAAGGTGAGGAACCGCGGAAAAGTTACATCAAAGCCTTTGACCGACCTCTAGTCTAGTCAGCTAGCCGCTTCCTCTCCGAACTGCCTCTCGGTCGAACTTTCGTCTTGCAACTCAAGATTGCTCCCGCATTCTGTGGGGGTCTGGCAGCCGGAGGCTCTCGCGATGCTGGATTCGCCCGTTGTGTCTTAGGGGTTCGGGCTTCTTCAGAAAATCAAAGTGGCAACAAGGGTGTTTGACTCTCGCTCCAACGAGCCGCGCCAGGGTCGCCATGTTTTCAACACACAAGACTCCACGTCGTACACCGTCCGTGAAGGAGGCAGAAGGAGGCAGTTGGGCAGTAGGGGTTTCGCGCGGCACCTTCTCCACGAGCTGAGGTTCCTTGGCCGGTGGCTTCTCCTGGCACTCCCAAGGAAGATCAGTGCAAGAACTTCGGCTGGCTCTCAAGCTGAAAGCCTGCACTTAGAATCAGACTTAGAACTAGCAGCTAGCACCAACACGGCCTCTTTGACATCGACGACAAACTCAAAGGCACCTGCCGTCAGAAGTGCCATCAGTTCAGGGTCTGATGGTCTCAAAAAATCATTCCCCGAGTCCAACCATCAAGCAAGCTTCTCATCCGGACTGCTATTACAAGTTACGAGTCCGGAGATGGGCCTAGTGACAAGTTGTCCGAGAAGGAGGGAAGTGTACCTGAAAGTCGACGCTGCTTGGGAGAGCGCAGCATCCAAGAAGCCGCATGCGCCAGGACTTGGAGATAGTAAGTTCTTTTCGGGCAAGCCACCGCAGTCAGAAGAATCGTCGGAAGGCGCTCTCCGGCGGCCACCTCCTATCGCGATGCCAGCAACAACAGCACTTTTAACCTGGCAGATGCTGCCTGTTGCTCTGCTAGTAGTGGTGGCGGAGGTGGTAGTATAGCGGCCGTGAGTACATCAGGGGTGGCAGCGGTGGCTGTGGCAGACACAACATGCTCGCGACGGTAGCACGAACAGCCTCCGTCACTGCAACTCATCCTGACGCTGGTGGCTCTGGTGGGGTGGTGGAGCTGCTGTTGTTGTTGGTGGCGGTCCTACCATGCCGTAGTGTACTTTTTTCTACTACGACAGCCCACTTCACCGCCACTCCACTAACTCTTGCTCCCCCTGCGACGGTCACTGGTACTTCTTCCTGTAGGTTTGAAGTGGCCTGTCCTTTAAAGCGTGAGGACACGTCGGCGTTGGCAACTGGCTCCCGCGGGTCCTGAGTCACCTGCACACGAGACAAACAACGCACGACAGATTTGACGCTATTGCATTGAATGGTTATTTGGCGCATATGCATGGAGAAGAGAAGGCAGAGAGAGACAGAGAGAGAGAGAGAGAAAGAGAGAAAGAGAGAGAGAGAGAGAAAGAAAGAGGCGGGGCAGGGCATGGACCCACCGGTCCGTCGAACTCTGCATGCGTTGGTGGTCGTACGCACGCACGCGTATCTGGATGTCCGTCTGTGCATGTGTCTTCTTCACTTGCATCAGAGTGCAGCAGCACATACGAGAATTGAGAGAGCGAGCAAGGAATGAAAGAAAATGAAACAAGTATCCAGAGAAATAAACACGCGAGAAAAAGTTCTTAAGTCGCTGAGATTGAGACTTTGCATCCAGCTACGGCAGCTACGGCCGGGCTCTGCACGTGGTGCCACACTACACACTCCCCTCCCCCAGATCCAGTCTCGGCAAGCCCGCTCCGCCCGCGCAGCACGGTCCAGAAGCACAGACGGCAATGCAGAGCGAACCTTCGGGTTCACCAAGACCTCCTGGGGCTTCTCCTTCCTGAAGGCCAGAGCGCGCATTCTCATTGCGGGGAGTTGTGGCTGTGGCGTCTGTAGGGATCTAAGGACAGTGCTGTGGAGGCGGAACTTCAGTTGGCTTGTTGCCTGCTCATCCACGTCTACGGGTAACAATATGTCATAATGCTATTCCGAGTGCTCCTCTTGCAAACATGCAATGCAGCAACACACACAGAGGACTTCAAGTCTACAACCCTCCCCGCGATCAGCTGGCCTGTGCCCAGCTCCGAATCCTCAGGCAAGAAGTCCAGAGTCCCTCCACCTCAAGACTCGAAGATGCATTTTATCCGGTTTCATGCAGAAGAACTTGGGCTCGCACCATCTCCAACCTGCAAAGCATCAGTGTTCGCAGCCAGTTTCGTCACGACTAGCATCTCTCAACACGTCTAATTACACGTGGGCACAGGGATTCTGGCTGGCTGGAGCCTTCCCGAACCCTAGCCGCTTTTGCAAGTACTAGAGCTACTACGCCAGTACCGCCAGCCAGGTGATCCTTCCAGTCCTGATGTCCCCGCCCGAGGCTTCCGCAATGAATATACTGCACCCTCCCAGCTGCCGCACCCTTGCAACAGCGCGGCGCTTCTCCTCGTAGCGCTCAAGGCGTTGGCGCTCTGCCTGAGCGAACTCGGTGCAGGGCTTCGGTCTCGGCGTGTCGAACACACCTGCAGCCTTGAGCAAAGTGTTTCACTGAGGCCTGCTTCCGCTTTTCCCAATCCTCCATCGCCTTCTTCTGTGCCTCCTCGCGATCTTGGCGAGCAGCCTGTCGCGACTTTACTCTGCCCGCACGAACCGGCAGGTCTGAAGCACGCCTGCAACGAAAGAAGGGCTGGTTGTCTGGTTTGCCGATGGCTAATACAACGTAGCCTTCTGCACGCTGATGTTGCCATGGCATGGCTGTCCCATACGACGTTTGTTCAGTCCATCCAAGAAACACCAGAAACACCTTGCACAGATGTGCGGGTTGCTGCTAGTCATTATGTGTCTGTCTCTCTGGGTTCAACAGTACTGGGTGTCACTAGCACGCAGAAGCAGCCCTGATCCACTTATGCACTCAGAAATTGGACAGTAGTTCTTTTGGGGGCGGTGGTCGTGCGAACACAAAACTGTGGATAGCGTTGTGGATTCGCGGCGTAGGGTTCGTTAGCTATTGTCTTACTTCCCCAATTTGCCAGGGAAATAAAAGGTTAAACTTTCAGATTGCTGCTAAATTATAAGAACCCAAGAAGTTTAAAAGTTGGGTATTGGAGAACTAACGTTTGGGCTGTATTCTGCTGTATTCAAGGATACAGGCGAAGCTCAGGCGACACCTCAAGATTCCCATCACGAATCATTGCTTTCCGGCGCGCTGCGCTGCGCTGCAGCTCTCGAACGTGAATCAGGGCTGCGGAAATTGGTGCGTTGACATGCGACCGGCCTCTTCCTTCTGCTTCGCTTCTTCGGCCTCTCGGCGCTGCATGCGCTCCTGGCAGCAATCGATAAAACAGAGTCCAGGAACACGTGCGAGAGATCCGAGGCCGCCCACATACAAAGGGATCTCGGCGCTTGGGTCGTGATAGGCCCTGCCGCGACGGAGAAGTCGCTCCTCTCTGAACGTCCGGAAAGCTACCGGCGCTTGCCTCAGCAGCTCCGTGATCGCCGAGCAAACCTGCTCAGGCTCGGCACTCCGACGCACTTCTCGCCCGCTGCTAGTGACTGGTGTTAGAAGGAGCTTTCGTGTCAGGCAGGGCTAGCATCTGGGGCCCGGCCTGAAACACACACTCCTGTCCAGCAGCTTGGTCCACCTGCCATCGCTTCTTGTTGGCGCTTTTGAAATTTTGGGACGCACGGTAACGACCCGAAGAGGGCCCAGGAGCCTTAAACTGACAGAAAGGACTGTTGTGAGGGCCCAATAGACTAGTCTTGTATGTTTAAGACAGCGGAGGATGCTGCGGAGCCTGCATTTTTGCAACCCACTATGTTCAGTGGCTTTGTGTGCGCTTCTGTGTCAGTTGGTCGTTCGTTTGGTGCACGTGCGTGCATGTTCTATTCAAAACTACAACATCAACTCTGGTTACACACCACGAGGTCTGTTTATAAACACAAGGTTTCTGCATGCCTTGCCTTCAGCGTTTTTAACTGTGCATTGTCATGTGCCTCCTTGCTTATACGTTTACTGTCTGAGGCTAGATGTTTAAGGCTTGTCTAACACATGCTGGTTGTTTGCTTGTTTGTTTGTATTCATTACATTATGTCCGGGGGGGCAAGGGGGGTCTTGGAGGAAATTTGCACGCTGACACACTGATGCATAGGAGTTTCTCCATGTGTCGGCTTGTGTGGTTTAGACCAAGACCTTCTTTGACTGAGACAATTATGAAAACACTGGCTGGTATTTACGGTGTTTGTGCTTATGGCAAACACAGTATTATGTGGTCCGTTGCTTATAAAAACCTGGTCTTGTTCATAAACAAATGAATTGTCCATAAACACACTTGTCACTAAAATGGCAAATGGTGCATATTACATATGTGCGTGTGCCTGTCTTCTCGTGTAAAAACAAGTGCTGTTGCTACATAGCTCAGAGGTCCAGTCTTCGCCACCATTCAAGACATATTAGAGGACCAAAAAGGATAGGAAGGGATTGTAAACGAAACCAAAAAGATTTCTGATACGGAAACAGTCAAGTCTTCGCCACCATTAAAACCATAGTGGAGGACCAGAGGGATATGAAGGGATGATACGGGATTGTATATCAAACCAAACAGATTTCTGCTACGGAAACTTGTAGAGGTGGAGGCCATGCAAGATCATGCAAGGGCCTGGACTACAAGCGAGGCTTCAGCGCAGCGGCCCCATAAACCAGATGTCCGCGTTCGTACTGATCCACATACTTGGTACTTGGGTTGCAGACTGTGGGTGATCACCAAAGCTAGAGTACCTATAGCAGCTAGCAGGACATAAACATGCACACAAGCAGGATTTGAGTCAGCTAAGACTTGTAGCCAACTTGTTAAGCATGGGCAGCGTTTTTTTTGCATTCCTGCTCAATGACGGTCACACATACTAATGCATATATTGCACTCACTCATGTTTGCTGACCTGCAATAACAGAGCATTGGTCTACCTATCTAGCATCCTACTCACTTTGCCAGATGATACGGTAATTCAGTACGGACATGTTCTCAAATAACCAAACATTGCATGCCAGAGCAGATGGTGTGGTAAGTTCTGGTTTTGGGTAGATTGGCTTGATAGGATGAAAAATCTTGCACGGATAAGATATGCGGCTCCGTGAGTCAGGAACTGGTCGAGTCTATGCGGCCTACCCCGGGACTTGGCTTCATAAAGTAAGGAATACACGCTGTTCACTGTGCCCCCCTGTGATAGTTGTTGTGGGCAGAACTTCGCATAGGTAGCCAATCAATATCGTGGTGTCGTACCCGTTGACGTCTGACCACGCCATGGCTAAACCTGACCTTGAAGACATTAGTCAGGAATGGAAGTGACCGCTACTTTGTGGTGTAATGCTTCGTGTACCTTCGAAGTGTTTGAGGTTGTTTGACTGTAAATATGATACAAAAAATGGGTCGGCAAAAACCCAGGCGCCAACCAACCTATCTTGTAACAAAACGCGGGCCCTCACAACAGTCCCCTTTCCAGAAAGGAACTTGCTTACCAAAGGCTGTGCCTCATCGACGACACGCCGCGTCAACTCCAGCCAGGCTTCCTTGGCCAAGTTGTCCACCTCGACTGCATCTGACGCAAGAAGGGGCCCACAACAGCTCGGGCATCCTGGCCTTGTCCACAAGGAGGCAGGGCCTGTCTCGATGGGATACCATTCACATTTCAAGCAAAGCCATGGGGAGCGAGCGTCTCTGATGGGTATAGCCGACCGTAGCTCACCTAGCGAGGAGACTTCCGAAGTAGTTTTAAGTTGCTGTGGAACCGGCAACTCTACCTCCAGCTCCGCAGTGGGTCCACTTCCCGTGCTTGCTGCAAGCCGGACCTCGGGCTATCCATGTACGATAGCATGTCCGCAACCTGCTCGATCTGGGCTGCACGACTGTACAGGAATTCATCTGGCGCCAAGTTTTGCCAAGTAGCTCGGTAGCGCTTCACGGGAGTCGAAGGTCGGTATGCCTGAGGATCCTCGTCAGGATGATGATACTGAGACAAGTAATGGCTCAGCAGCAAGTGCGAAACTCGTCAGCCGTCTTTGCTCGCCGCAAACCCACGAGGACATTCAAGGCTTGGGGCCAGAGATAAACTTAACATGCCAACGACTGCCAACTCATGCTTAGCATGCTGGCGAGCAATAAGTACACAAGCGCCACGTTCGACGCCCTGCTGAATCATGGTTGGGCTTCTGCCCGGAGGTCGTGGTGTGCTAGGCAGCGGGCCCTCATCGAAACCCCGGCAATGGAGCTTGAGTGCAAGAACAGATTTGCTGAAACAGGTGCCCACCACCCACCCAGCCCATCAGTCAGCGAGCTGCATGCGGCAAGTGCTGCTGAGCTGATCGCTGAGGGCACAGGCTCTGATCCATTGCAACAATTCGGAAAACTTGCGCAAAATCGACAGCTGGGGCATAGCATTTCTGCCCAAAGCCGTCCTCTTCAACGACGTATCAGGCCGTGTCCCGATTGCCAGGGATCAAAACCCATCTTTGCATGGCGAACCGGGAGCGGTTCAGGAGCATGGGGGAGCCGGGAATTGTCCACCCGCTTGGGGCTTCACGTGGCTTCTTTGCCATCGCCTTGGCCCGGTTCAAGTGCAGAGCAGAATCTAAAGACAGGGTCGACTGTTTCGACTCGCACTCTCGCACTCGGCAGGCACGGCTTCAGGAGGTCTGCTTGCTACGGTACCATGACGGCCTATCAGCTGAGCGCTGTTATGCGGACCTTTGGTGGCAGTGAGCGCTTCCAAGGCGTCATGCACCTCACACAAGCCGGAGGCTGGAGGAGGCCAAAACTTGCACCGTCTCGAGCTGTCAGACGTGCAAGACGAGCCGATTTCTCGCATGGACCTTGTCGCTGGATTGGAATTGCTGCACGTCCTTTCTCGCCTCCTCGTGCGGAGCTTAAAGAAGTCATGCTGCTCTGGGCTCTCCATCGGAATGCATCGCTTCTGGATCTTGTGTACTGCTGCAGCTCCCTCCTCGACGAACTCTTGCGGAAAAACGTGTCTCACGAACCTCGGATGAAATCAGGTCGGGCCAGCCAGCAACATGCCACTCTGTCAGTTTGTTGAGCAAAGGAGCTCCATGTAGTTAATGCTTCCATTCTGATTGTCATCAAACCTCGGCCATGCCAAGCCAATGCGAACGAGGGTAGAAGAGTGCTCGACCTTCTGGTGATTCAGTTCACAAAACGAACCGTGCACTTTCCCGACTGCACCAGACGAGGCTCAGCATAAACAGTCCGATGGACCGCTCCTCAGCCACGTGAAAGGCATTGGGCACTGACTCGCAAGTGCTTAAATCTGTGTTGCCTGCACGTGCCCAGCACAAAAGCCCGCAAAGCAGCAAAGGCACCACACTCAAGCCGACTCGCATCTGCCGGACAAGCCTGGGACCAAGGTCAAGAAGCCAGGAACCCTGCGCCTGTGCCGGCCGAGCCGAGGGCTCTATGAACTCAAGGAGGTCCAAGTTCCCATCGTGATCCATGTCGACATACTCGAACAGTGCCTTTACCTCAGAATAGCATCTACCAGCTCTTCCAGTTTTTCGGCACGGGCACTTACGTCGCTAGAACGCATCAGAGGATGTGAATAGCGCATACGGAAACTCGCGTGATCGTCGTCGGAGGACATGGTGAGAGGGGGGTGGTTAACAGGCAGAAGAGGAGCAGGCATCACTCGCAGGAAAGAGATAAAGAGGCTGCGCGCAGCCACGTGGCATCATTGGCACTGTACCCCCACTTGACCATGGCTTGCCGGGCTCTTGTGATGCAGAGGACACGGTCCCGAGTCTGCCAGCAGCTTGTGAACTCGTGCCCAAGAATTCCCACCTAGAAAGGACAGACGGAGAGCTTTCAACTTTCTCAACTGCAGCGATTCGAATGCTGGAAGATCTACGTCTGTGCAGATCTGGCGCCGGCATAGCAACAAACAAGACGGAAACGATCACAAGCACGGACCTTGGACAATCTCCAAGATCAAAGATTGAGCAGCTCGTGAAACAAGCCCACGCAATACCAGTACAGGTTGTAGGCATTCAAACCTTTGAGGTGCCGGACAAGGTGCACAACGACGTAGCCTCCAGCCGTCTGCGGAACATAATCGCCTGCGTGGCTTGCATGATTCATGCAAACAGTCGCAGCCACAGACTGGAGCCTTTGCTCTGCACAAAGCAATCATCCGGCATGCGCACACACACATTTCTCGACATATCAACGTGTACACTCGTATATGGGTGTGGATTTTCGGGTCCACACATATTTTATATATATATACACACACATATATATATATATATATCAGCATATCTATTTTGGCTCCCACATGGCATCATCAGCGTGCTGACTCTGCATCGCAGGTTTCCCATCACATACTGGTCCTGATCTCAGCATATCTATGTATATATATATATATATTAACAAATACACACATGCACGCATTTACTGGGACCTGATCCTTCAGCAACACAGTGCCCTCTGTCCGACTCGGTCAGTCCATGCCCGAGGCACGACACACCGTAAAGAGCTTGAACCATTGCAACGGAGTCACCATAGCCGACAGTCGTCATCGTCACGACGCACAGCCAGAGGGCATGCTGCAAGCCTTAGCCAAGGCTTTCAACACTCTCACAGCATTGGGCATTCTGCCACACACACACACACTTTATCCGGCAGGGTGACTAAATTGCAAACAAGCCATCGAGCTTCTGGCATCATGTCTAAGAGCAGCGATTGGTTTATCTGGAAAACGCATCGGCAGTAGCTGCTGTTAGAAGCACAAGCAAGGCTTCTCACAGCCTGTCTTGAGTTACAAGTACGACGTGCTGACAGGAAGCTTGGAATGGCAGTCCTCATCAGGCGCACAAGCATCACGTCTGAACGCTGTGCGTGTTTCGTCGCAGGTCCTCGTCTCGATCAAGTACAGCAAGCTGGACGCAAGCATCACAATCAAAGCCAGCCTCAGTATCCAGCAAATCGGAACATCGGGAGCATATTCACATGCTTTGTGCTCCCAAGTCACGTGTACATTAGCACCGGGAGGGCTTCAAGCCTGAAATCATTCCAGGTCAAAGCATCATGGCTCAATCTGGGTAGGCCGGTCTTGCAGCCAGGCATCGAGTTCTTGAAGGCATCCTTGGTGATTCTTGAAGAATGTACAGGACTTGCAGACGAATCGGCTCAGGCGAGGCTCTACCAAGAGCCTGAAAGTCTCGAAATACCGAAGCAGCTTCAGCAGACGAAGAATGGGCAGTGCCAAGAGAAGGATGACCTTCACACTGTTCTGAGGCTGCCGAACCCTCAAACTCATCGTGGCTGCTTTCGACTCGCGACACGCTCTTAATTCGAACAATGAGAACACTTTGGGTACTCCGTCGCCTGGACATGGCCGGCCTCAGCCCACCAACACTCAAGCACAATCGCCACTTGCTTGAGCTTCAGTGTGCGACGACACATATAGGGATGAAAACGTTCAGCATAGATTTTAGATTTCTGCAAAGGGTGCTCTCATGTCGTCTGGCTCTCTACATGGATGCTCAGAAGTTGTCTTAGCAGAGTTCGATGAACTGCCGGGGTGCATGATCGTAAGGCACATCCATCACAAAGCCGATGCTGGCCTGAGCTGACGTGCTTCCACGTATGCAACACTCCGCCATGCTATGTTGAGATACGTTCACTCTCTTGTGCTGCGTTTTCGGCAGCAAGTCAGATCTCAGAATTATGCCGAACGTCAGCATTGCAGCGTGATTCTTGCTTGCAGATATTGATTACAATCATAGGGTTGCTCTTGCAGAAGGCAAGAGATGCACCTCGCAGTGAGCGTGTATGAATTTGTGTGGCTTTCTACTGTATTCGACAGCGCACATCATAAGTTGTGCGTCACAGCCCGTGTTTGATTGTATGCCTATGCGGATGTCTAAATAATCAAATGTTCACATCCGTCGATGTTTGTGGCACCAGCGACTGCAATATCCGAGCTGCCTGTTCAGCCCTCTCATGTGCGCAGGCAAACATGCGCACAGAGACAGACAGAGACAAGTCAAGAGAGAGATTCGGACAGAGAGGGAAAGTCGCAGGTAGACGGACAAACATGCATGTACGACCGCAGGTCTGTATTTATGCATGCATGCATGCAGGATGTATGCATGCATGCAGATATGCGCTCAAGCACGTGTGCCTGTGCGCGTGATCCGTGTGCGGCATGCTCATCCGTACACCTTCATGTGTGGACGTATACACAAACATACGCACATATACGTGGCTGGATGGGTAGTGGTGTGATCGCGTCCAACACGTGCGTGCTTTATCGTCTGGCCTTTTCACCACATCGCTTGAGCAGAGCGGCTCTGAGAGGTAAACCGAATGCCGATAGCATATCTGCCCAGTTCAGCGTGTTCTTGAAGTACTCCCTCTTGGACGGAGCCGAGAAGACTCGGCAAAGGAACCTTTGGGACTGCAACTGTGCACAACCATTGCTGATGGCAGTGTGCACGGGCTGCGAATATGGAACACCGGAGCATCTGAGACCGGAGCTCTATCAAGAATATAGTGTCGAATGTTGTCTCGAGAAATGCTGCCACGACCCCCTGCAGCAGAGACTCCTGCAGCGAGTTGCATAGCAATCAGACTTCGGTGATACTAAACTGGACAGACTGGACAATGCAAGCTTGTGCCCAGTCCTGCGTGACCTGCAAGTTGGTTACAATGATGCTGAGAATCACTGCAACCTGATCCAAGGGAGGAAGCTTGCAGCATTCTCGATGTCCGTGGAACCTTTAGCCTTGGACCATAAGATATCTACGAACTTGTCAAAATTAACACAGTTGTCTCTGGACATCTCGAAAGCTCCTCAGACTCTTCCCGTCGCGGTATCGGTACAAGCCGCTTTGCCTTGAGCGCCTGCGAAATCCACCAGGCAATTCCTAGGTCGTGCAACCCATGCCACTTGACTCGGTCACTATCTCTGTTAATGCAGCGAGCACATCTTTGGAGCACTGAGCCAAAGTACTGCTGGACTCTGGGTCATCGAGCATCTCCCATATGTCATCACAGCGGCTGCGGTCTCAGTCCGCTTCGGTGAGGTGAAGGCACCAAGCTGGTAATTGCTTCTGCTCTGCTTTGGCTTCGTCGCCTAAAGTCCAAGGCGCACAGCAGGCGCATCATCGGCTTCGTTGCAGCCGCCTCATCCTGATGCTTCAACAGCTTCCCTGCTTCTTCTTCCACTCAGCCAAAGAAGCAGCAGCTTTCCTCTCTCGCTCTGCCGCTGCGGTTGGAGCTTACAATGCTTGATTGTGTCGGACAAGTCCGTGAGCAAGGCCTTCCCCCCGAAGATTTCCGTCGCTATCTTCAGGTCCACTGTCCGGGCCTTGGACTGCTGGGTTTGGTTCGGGCCAAATCGTTCGACAAGAAACTGAACTGGCAAGTTCGGCCAAGCTGATAAACCGCAGGACGAGTTGCCTTATGAATATGCCTCCGTGGTCGAGGTGCCGCATCCTTGCAGCTTGCGATCCCGGGCATCGTCCAAAATGACGACGGTGACTGCTTAGGCCCAGGCCCTGGCAGGATCATGAGCCTCGCCTTCTGACGTCTCCTGAGAAATCTGGGAAATGTCATCATCTGGCGCGGGCAACCCACAACTCGATGTCAGGGGTGGATGCAGCCAAGACGCATCACACCATGCGACGGTCCCTTGCCGATTTCCGAAGCTGACGACCTGATGCCGCAAGGCTGTCGACTCAGCCTCAGTTGTTCTGCTTAGTCTTAAACATCCGTCTCGAAATAAACAAACAGTGCATATGATCTGGTCGATTGTCAAAGAGAGCTGAAAGGGGCCCGAGAAATCCGATGGATTCAAAGAGGAACATGCCTGAACTGGGACAGACAAGTATCCAAGTTTGCGTCGCTGTCAGACATTGCAAAAGCATCCGGTACCACCGCAAAAAGCGGTTCTCCTTGTGCGCCACAGCACGCACCACACAGCATCTACTACACGGCATCTATTCCGTGCTCATGACCTCTAGCATCTGCCTTTCGCCAGCTCATGCCTGTCGTTCGGCCCGATGAGCCGGCATCTGAAACGGAGGACTAGCTTTCTTGCGTGGCAGGCCGTCCTTTCGTCGCATGGGCATGGCCCTCCTTCGCGTGCGCAGAATGCGGCTCACTAGCCACACCGTGCAGCAGCTGTGCCAGACAAGCATCCACCTGCTGCAAACACAAAAAAGAAGGCAGACCTGCCACACTTGTTCGTTGTGCCATGGCCTGCTGGGAGATTCGATCCAAGGCTACCTCAATCCTCGTGTACTCGCTTGTCATGGCGGGGCCTCGGCTCGACTGTGCTCCTGGACAGCCTGTACTTGGACCTGAGCTTGGGACCTGAGGCTGTTGTGCCCTCGTTCTTCGACGTTTTCCTGGGCTACATCTTCAATTGAAGCTGCCAAGTCTTGACCCGGCACTGAGACAAGGGGTGAGTAAACCGGAGCTGTCCCAGACCAGAATCAGGATCGGTCTTGCCACCTTCGGTGCATGCGTCGCTCCGCCGTCTACTTCCTCCACTTGCCACCTCAGCTGCAACTCAACATCCAGACGGCCAAACTTAGGCACCCAAGCCCAAGTCTCTGAGCTCTGGGCGGCAAGATGTCATCTGAAGACATCGAAGCGCTCCAGGACTAGCGCGTCGGAACGCAGAGGGGCCGCAGCTGCATCGGGTTCGAGAAAATGCGCACCTATTGCCTGCTGCTGACTTATGGACCTCAGAAAACTTGGACGAGGTAACTATGCCCCAGGATCGACTCGCGAATCCCTCCCTGCAAGCCCGTGGCAGCGGCAAGAACCACATGTGAGCAAGGTGCAGCCAACGTAGCTGAGCTAGATAGTCAGAAGTTCAGCTTAGCTGAGCCACTTCGTGTTGCCGAGCCAGGTTCCTACAAGTATCTCAACCTCAACATTCGTGAGCCGATGCTGTCTTGTTGTGGAGGAGGCACAGGTTCGAGTAACCCACGGCTTGGGCTTCCAACTTGCGTAGTTTCTGCAGGAACGCTCTCCATAATCTGGTGGACATACGTTCATGTTAGCTTTGGCATTTACGAGGTGTAACGGTGTAACATTTCGACGAGTTTGGATTGCAAACGAGGCAGGCAGCTTGGGCTGATAAATGAGTTTAGGGCGCAGGCTGAACATGCAGATGGTCGTCAGAATTGTGGTGACTGCTAAAAGTCGCAAATAACCCCGCTGCTTCAACGCGTCGGTTGCTGGTACGAGCAATACCCACAGGACACCGTCGTTTTGACATCTAGCCCTCCCAAATGGCATCTTAGAATCAACATGCATCTGCAACGGACGCAGGAGGTTTGCAGGGGAATCTTGCCCTTCCCCCCTCTCTGCTAGAATCCTGAAAATCCCAACACACACTGGGCATGCCTTAGCATCATCTTCCTCGTCTGAGCTCCGGCAGCCTGCGCGTGGTGCGATGCATCCCGGCTCGTATGAGCGAGAATGCAGAAACATGTTAGGTTGCAGAATCATTCGTCACATTGCTGTCATCGCATCATCGCCGTTCATCATCATCATCATCATCACCACCATCAGTAACAGCACCATCATCATTGTTATCAGCAGCAGCACACGAACGACGTGCGAAGCACTGGCTTGTCGGAAGCAGTCGGGCCTGGACCCACTGGTAGCTCTTCAACCTCGGCCACACGGAGTCAAGCATTGTGCCCTCTCGTCCTCGCCAAAGCATGGCCAACTTAGCCCTCCGCAGCACCGGGGAAGATCTCCTTGATGCTCATGAACCTCTCGTTGCAGGTGCTAGGTTGGAACCCGGACTTGTCGCTTGCTTGAAGTGCTTCGGCAAGACCGGAGCCCTTTTTTACCGCTTGTGGGACTTGCAATCAAAGTTCAGGAACTTAGTGGCAAGTTTTCAAAGAGCCACTTCAAAAAATGTGGCTACGGGAAGAACAAGCCTGCTGCACCACATGCTGACATATCTGACATCACCTTGCATGCCGCAGCCGCACTCCAGACATTATAAAATGAAGTTCCCTCGGGACATACTTCAGAAACAGCACCAGAGCCTCAGTTCTCAGGATTGCTCGCGGCTAACACCGGGTTCGAAAACACAAGTTGGGGATGCCTTAAGATGAGTAGGAAGATGTGCCAACCTGCCACAGGAACACACGGAATCGATTCGAAGCTTCTGCTGGCACGCTGCCTTCGGATAGTCGCCATCCCGGCTACTTTTGAAAGCCAGCTGAGCTGCCTGTCGCACACGTCACTGGCATGTCACAAACTGAAATTCCTCTGTACACTGCGGCACCTTGACCAGCTGTGTCATCCAGGGCTCGGACTTCTTCCTGCGACAATGAAGACTGCCAAAGATCTCGCGCTGGGGATATGCTGCAGCATCACATGCGCAGAATGCATAGTCTTTGATGGGCTTGCTGACAGTCTGTGAGATATACCCCGCTGACGGCGATGCTCCTAGGACATCTAAGCCTGAACTCAACCCGCTGCTGCATCTGCTGCCTGCTACCAACTATGACATCCAAAAACCTTTATGCTGACGCGACACCCGAGGAAGCTGCCAAGCTTGTCACGACTTCCGTCTTCCAAGTAACGCTACTGTCAGCGAGTTTCTTGCATTACACCTTGGGGGAAAACTTCAAGAACGAGCTCGTGCTGGCACTTGCACTACAGGATGCGTCTTGTCGTGCCACAGTTGCGTCTGCGAGGACAGCAGTTTGAAGCCTATGCAGTGTCCAAAGCAAACATAAACTGGAGCCTATGCTTGAGTCAGGCTTGCACTTGCTTGAACGTCTTCGAAACTACCCTGTCTCTGTTTGTGGACGCAATCCGTTTTCACGCAATGCTTGCAATTAGAGCAGACAGACAACATTCGCAAATCACAGCTCGTTCATGCTCGTTCCTACAACCCAGATCCATCCCAGATGACTGTCAAAATTGCCCTTGCGTCGCGGCAGCTGTTAACCGGTCGCCCTGTGCCCCTGGGATTCCTCTTCTTGATGCAGTTGACATCAGGACAATAGCAGCCGTGCCCACTGCAGCAGAAGCAGCAACAGCAGCAGCAGCAGCAAGTTTCAATTGAACGCTGCGTGAGCGTGCGCTGCGCGTGGACGGCGATTACCGTTTTGGCACTCGCTATTGGGTCAAAACCGACTTCGGCTCTATTCTGAAGGGCAATTGTCCGAAGCTCCCAGAAAATCGGCAACACCCAACACAACCGAAAGAAACCAGGGCTAACAACAAGGCCGAAGACCGGAGCCATTCCCAACTGAGCCTGAGCCTAAATCCTGTGGGGGGCCGGCGAGTGCTTAAAACACTCTTGGCCTTGACACGGGCGAGGTCTTGCCCACGTGTTGATCATGCTAGTAATTCTTTGGGCCAGCACCCCCGCTAAAGGCAGGTGTCGGCTTCACTGGCGTCCCAGAAACAGTGACAAGCTGCTCTTCAGCACGCGCTTAGGTCTGTGCTGGCCGCCGGCTTGCCGGCTTTTCAACAGAAGCTAAACGGCCTCAGATATCTGACACAAACACAGAATATCGCAGGTACCACCTTCATCCGTTTCTGGAGCGCGGGCCAGTGGCACTGCTCTGAGGCCATCAACCGGGAAGCAAAACGAAACACACAAAACCGATAAAAGATAGAACAGGAGAACAAGTCCTGATCTCCACGGCAACTCAATCCCTATATGGAAGAGAGCTGCCTATGGCTTGAGCAGTTGCTTCACTAGGTCAAATCACTTTGCTCTCTTCGGCCTTTCGCCCAAACATGGGAAAAGTCTGCTCAGGTCACGTGGGCCGTCACTTTTAGCACTGCCTGACCCCGTCGGTAACAGGACAGTAGCGAACACAACTGGGAGGGCTGTAGCTGAAGCCCACCGCCCATGGCACAGCAAGCGCGTCCGCTTTGCGGGTGTACCCAGATGTGACGTGGAGCTGTACCAACCAAAGTGCTGGGCGTCTTCCTTTCGCGTCTGTGTCACATCCTTCCGGCTCAGCTGTGCTGCAGCCTCGTCTCCCTACTGCGTCGGCTGTGGGCGTGGCTGCTCCTGCGGTGCAGGTCGGCTTAAAGCACCTTGCTCCAGGCTGAAGTTCAGGCGAAGGTAAGAGACACAGCACAATCGTGACACATAGAATGCAGTGAGTTTCCTTCTGCGCAACAAAATCACAGATGTCTAGAGCATCTGTTTCATTCCTTGCCACAAGCCGTCCCCGCCGTCGTTGGCCCAAATGTCCAGCATTCCAGGACAAGCTGCACAGCGCCTGGCGCGAGACTCCTGCATGTGACCTGAATCGGGAAACGGCCGAAGACGAACCAGTTTCTGATATAAGTGCACTGTAAGCTTCAGCACCATCCGCTATGTCGCCACAAGAGCAAGCTGAAGTGACTTTTTCCACCGCGCGGAAGGTGTAAACCCTACCGCTTGCCCAGTAAACACTGCCGTAACAGTAACTGGGCCAGGAAGTGGGACCTAGCAGCAGATCAGACCTTCAGCACACCAGGACCAGGAGGCACATGGCACAAAAGTTGGGACCAACTGTTAAGGTTAGGAGAGGGCCCGGATGGAGCCTCTAGAAAAGAAGCTGGAACCCAGAGCCTGTTCGAAGCACCCGTTTGCTGCGCCGTCGTCTGATCCGTAGTGGCTGCAGCAGCAGCAGCAACCACAACCACAACCACAACCCCTACCAAGACGCCAGCGCAACCAAAGCCACAACCAAAACAACCAAGCCACCGCAACAACCACAACAACGGCAAAAAGTCAAAAAGGCAGCATCTCAACAGCAGCAGCAGCAGCAGCAGCAGCAGCAGCAGCAGCAGCAGCTTCGGAAACAGCTGTCAACACCGTCGGCAATCACGGATCACAACAAATGCAGCTATGGAACTAGATGTGAAGATGTACTGATATACAGATAACTAAGATCATATGTGTATTGGCAGGCACTCCTTTTCAAATCTCGGTCGCTAAATGCTACATCCGGCGTGTAGACTTGTACTGTCAGTCGCAATGCTCACATGAACAGCTGCAACATGCTGCAACGGCAATAACATCAACCCCACGGTGTGTCATTGCCTTTAGACATGCTCAGGAAGCCAAGTCAGGCTCTTTCTCGGTCGCATGCATACGCGATTGTCTCTCGTGCCAAGTTCTGACAAACTCATGGCACAACGAAGCTCAACGAAACAAGCGAACATGACCAAGGCCTGCTCAGCATTGTGGAAAGCTGGGCCCGCAGGGCTCCAGATCGCTGCAAGAAGTTCTGAAGCCAGGCATCCTTCACACTTCGTGGCAGCCAGGCTTTTCCACGTGTCCCAGCACCAGTTCGATGGGCCTGCTTTCCTTTGAGTTTCGCCTGCGCTGACAGGCTCCCTGCTTCGCCATCGTTTCATAAAGCATCTGCTAGTGCCTCGATGGTCTTCTCGTCCTTGGCAATCGCGGCATCCAGCTTCATCAGGGCATCCACACTGCAGCCCTGCGGTCCGACAGTGCACGAGAACGAGAAGTACACTAACTACAACCTCTCAGACCCTCTCAGCCTCTTCAAGACAGCTCTCGATGGCAGAGACACAGCCCTCGTCACACTCGAGGACCTGCCATGCAACCCTTAAGCTCCGGAAGTGCCCGCAGCGCGCAGCGTTCAGGCGCCGGCGGGAAGCTCCCAGCTCTTTTCAGCTGCCTGGCAAACAATACGAGCCCGAAGAGCCGACAGAAACGGCAAGAGTCGGTGAAGACAAGGCGGACCTTCCTTTCCTTTACGGTGCTACTTGTAGGCAAAGCTGCCATGCGCCCGTTCTTCCGAAGGCAGGACAGAATCTTGCAGAGACTTGGAAAAGAAGTCCGGATACCGCTGTTTATGCGAGCTGATTAATCAAGCTAGCCAGCTAGCCGCGGGCACTCAGCATGCCTCTTTGGGCTCTTACTGTACCAGAAAACTGCTTGAACATGCTCGTCCGTAGACTCCACTTGGGCTCAGAAGTTTAGGACTGAAATCCGCCAATCCCTTGCTGCCATGAGCTCACACGCCGTTGCCTGCTTCGCAGGAGCACTGGGCACTTTCCCCATCAAGAAGTCTCGTAGCTCCTCCATACACACACCACTTTCCGCGCGGTTGATGAAAATCACCTACATCAAATGCTGACAGGTCCTGGCTGCGATCCAGGTTGACCTTGCCAGATGTGGCACCTGACCACATAAAGCCGTCCCCGACGAGACTTCTTGCGGCACATCATCTGTGCCTCGAGTGATTTTGCTGGACTGTCCTGCCGGCATGCTTGTTTGCGTGGATAGACAACATCATCTCAGGAACCTGTGGCTCGGAAAAGAATTGCAGACAGACATCGGCTGGTCTTGACTGCCAGTCAGGCAAGACTTCTAATCAATGTCGAGACATTTACCAGGGCTACTCAGCGGGAATGGAACACAACTGTCGAACAAGAACACCCTATGTTGCTGCATGTCTCACGTTCCCTCGCAGCATGACACCCCTGTAGCCGAAAGTAGAAGTGCAGCTCCGAATGCAGCAGGTGCAACTAAGCTTTTGCAGAAGCTCCTCGGGGGAGTGCTGGCATCGAGGCGATGAAAGTCCCTCGAAGTTCAGGTGCTAATCTGACAGACAAACTCTGTTAGTCTGTTAAGACGATACCTTTCAGACAGCTGTGGCCGTTGCTGTTCCAATAGAAGCAGGCCACGGCCACGACGACGGCACAACGAAGCCTCGGTAGAAATGAAACGAAGCACGCACAAAAGCTGAAGCCCAAAAGGGGCCTCGCGTCAACCACCGATATCACCACCACCACTTCACCACCACCACCTCATCAACAGCCTCACCACGACGGCGACTGTTACCTTCCCCTCTTTGTGCTACTGCTTCTGCTCCACTGCTACTGCCACTCATCCTCCTACTCCTCCTCCTCCTCTACTGCTACTTCCCTGGTCCTATACCCCTGCTCAGCTACTGCCCCCTTACTCCTACTCCCCCACTCCTACTCCTTGACTCCTTCTCCTCCACTCGTACTCCTCCTCCTGCTTCTTCTTCTATTGCTACTATTGCTACTACGACGAAGACTGCTGCTGCTATTGCTACTGCTCCTGCTCCTGCTCCTGCTACTGCTACTGCTGCTGCTGCTACTGCTACAGTTACGCTACTGCTACTGCTACTTCTACTACTAGTGCTACTGCTACTGCTACGGCTACTGCTACTGCTACCACTGCTGCTGCTACTACTACTACTACTACTACTACTACTACTAC